GTAGATAGGTATCTAAAAAAAACACTATAGAGTGCAAAATTTTGTTTCACCTAAGGAGCCAAAAACCCAAGAGTCGGCCCTGATCACAGTTACTTAAGCTTTTGACCTTGATGCCCGCATCGCTTGTCTCACAGAAAACCAGTCCTGTGGTTTTCTAGCCACACCTCACAGTTACATTTTCCATTCATTAATGGAATTTTANAATGACAGCCTTCTGTATTTGTCCGGCCAATATTTCTGCCTTCGTGCGGCAAGCCGGCATGATCTTAAGATTTGAGAGTAGAGAGGGCATCATTTTATAATTAATATCATTCACTCTCGAATCACACTGTCATAAAGAGGAAATGCTTCATCCTGCTAAAACGTTGTCATTTGAAGACTCATTTAGGTTTGCCTGGAGTATCGTATTTCTTCCATGAATAAACGGCGTGTTATATGTTTAATTATTCTCAGAAACTGTTATATTCCATGGATATGGCCTGATAATATAACGAAATTTCCCCAGAAACATTCCAAAATTTATGAAATGGCGTTAACTATAAACTTCATTATTGTTAGGAAATGGATGAACATTTCGAACATTTGTTGAATGAAGCTGAATTGAGTTTTGGATGAAATTTTGATTCAAATCATCATATTTATCGTTTACAGATTCTTGAAAATGATACAAAACTGCAAATTACTCAGGAACGTCTGACCCGATTTCCATAAATAAATCAGTATTGGATAGAGAAATGAACGACCTGTCAAAATATCTTCTCTATTACGAAACTTCATGGTGATTTCCCGGCAACACACGTGATGCTACACCTATTTTGTTTTAAGGAAGTAGATAGTGAAAATATATCTTGTTTAAGTGCATTTTTTAAATCTGTTTCAAAAGTGACGAATACTCATGAGTCACATATTTGAATTATTCATACAAGTTGGCCAAACGGATAAAAAACCCTTGATATTTCAGTCACCGAAGTGGTTGGGTTCTATTGATTTTACTTTTCAGGTATCTCCACAAATACGAAGGGACAACGAATCTACTGACTGTAGAGGTCATTCAATGCTTCTTCTCCTACTACAGTACGTATCTTGATATTCAGATAAGATATAATACAGTGAATTATCCTAGAACAGGGGGTATTAGAATACCCCTGACAAGTGGGGTGTCACCCGTGAAGGTAAGAATTCTCCTAGATGATGGCTTCATCCTGAGGTGTATGCATTCGTGCCGGAAGTAATAATTACTCTGTGGGGCTCTACCTTAGTAGAGCTGCGATTCTTTGCTACTTGCTTTGCTACCATTTACGGATCATCATGTAAACAAAGTATCAGACATTAAATCTACAGAAGATATGAACGTGGACTTTACGACCCCACCTGTCCTCTCTGTAACATCGGATCAAGAGCAACAGCTTCTTATTTTCCAGCTTTTGATACTGTTTACAAACCTAGGAGGATAGGTGGTGCAACCAGGAAGCGACTCATTACCTTCCTAAGCGAACGATATTTTATGAATCTACTTTGTATGAAAGTTTTTAGCAATCTGCATCAGAAGAGCAAACAAATCCTTCTCCTTACGCTCAAACAGTAATCCACCAAAACGACGACGATAATCTCCTGCATAGCTGAATCTAATGTATCCTCAGGTACAGCACAAAGATGCTCTCATTTGAAAAAGTTGCTACGACCATTAAGATTGAAATTTTACTCTTTGAACGTCCTTTGAACAGCCTCAATTTTGACTTATCTGAAATCTCTTAACATGTTGTAGAGGATATTCTAGAAGATAGTACACAGGTACACTTATATAGCTCGACATTTTGGCCTAGATGTGTATGGTTACCTGACAGAATCCGGAGAGTGTCTTCTGGCTGGTGGGTGCAGTTAGTAACCTAGAGCCATAGGAGGGCAACTTGTTGAAATGTCCCATCGGATATCTACTTCACAAGCTACATATTCGTTATGCCCACCTACCAGATGAAGTTAGTCGCATACTGACCCCTGATAAGATCCTCACTACACTGAGGAAAATGTTCCATGGTTCATCAGCCTTGACGTGGATTATTCTTCAGTCAGGTCATGATATCAGCTGGCTTCATTTGGTCGAATTTGAATGAGTTTGAGACACAATAAACTCCCGCGGATTGCAATGGACCTACTATTTATGCAGTGATGAATGTGAAGAAGAGGCATCACTGAATGGCCATTTTAGTATTTTTTTTCTCAATTTCAGGGAATTATAAAACAAACATATTGTTATATCTGCTTGCAACATCTCGTGAACGTCGATATCGTAATAGGTTCATATTTGCTGCAATAGCTTCATTAGAAACAAAAAATCAAAAAAAATAAGGAACACCTGAATTCAGAAAAATTTCGAATACGGTTCTTTAGAGGGCCCGAACTTTCTGAAAAGCATCCTGAAACTCTATATTTTCAAACTTCCTTTCTGAAATTGAAATATCTCTGTCTCATTAATACTCAACAATGTAAAAACCGCGTTTTCACATGACAAGGAAAGGTACTGGGTTTTTTGAAAATTGTTAATGATAGGAGTTGCTGAGAAGGTGCTATCAACTTTTGATTTGGAATGAAAAAGGGATCTTGTGCATCTTCGTTTGATAGATCTGTCAATTCTTTATCCAACAGATAATTTTTGTAAATCTGACTAGACCTTTCTGATTAATTGGCAATTTTTAATTATTTCTGGAAACTTACATACAAACGATGAGTTTCACAATTTTGCTTGCTGACGTTTCATAACTCAGATGTTTGAATATGTCGAAAAGACGCCTACTGCACTTGGCATGTTTGTTTCATTTTATCGTGAATTCGTTATCGCCACACAAAAATTAAATTTCGGACAGACGTCCACAACCTGAGCAGTAGGTTTAGGAGCACTCTCTCACACCTTCTGCAGAAAAAATTCATTTTCATGTATTTGTATCATTTTCCAAAACACGTGAATGACTTCGTGGATTCTACCAACATTTATTTTTTTCATTTATTGATTTGATTTCATTTCTTTCCATTTTGGTATTTTTTTCTCCATTCTATTTTTACCCGCTTGAAATGAAAAACAGATGAACTTGTTGTGGCAGCTTTCTCTATTCATTACCTATTTCTTTGTCTGCTGTGAATCTTTTCGCTTGTATTGTAATCTGGAAAGTAAAGACCTATTTTAATTTTTTTCACCGAAGGGTGAACTGGTCGAGCCCTGTCCCTGAAGCTCCGACAAATTCGGAAAGGCGCGCGAGCATTATCACCCAATGACCACTTCCCACGCCGTGGGGTAAGTGATTATTCAGTCCGAGAATTATGTGCCCTGAGGAGACACAATGAGCCAAAAATGACAGCCTTCTGTATTTGTCCGGCCAATATTTCTGCCTTCGTGCGGCAAGCCGGCATGATNACATGTTGTAGAGGATATTCTAGAAGATAGTACACAGGTACACTTATATAGCTCGACATTTTGGCCTAGATGTGTATGGTTACCTGACAGAATCCGGAGAGTGTCTTCTGGCTGGTGGGTGCAGTTAGTAACCTAGAGCCATAGGAGGGCAACTTGTTGAAATGTCCCATCGGATATCTACTTCACAAGCTACATATTCGTTATGCCCACCTACCAGATGAAGTTAGTCGCATACTGACCCCTGATAAGATCCTCACTACACTGAGGAAAATGTTCCATGGTTCATCAGCCTTGACGTGGATTATTCTTCAGTCAGGTCATGATATCAGCTGGCTTCATTTGGTCGAATTTGAATGAGTTTGAGACACAATAAACTCCCGCGGATTGCAATGGACCTACTATTTATGCAGTGATGAATGTGAAGAAGAGGCATCACTGAATGGTTCTGATTTCTGCATTCATTTTGTGAAATGAAATCTATAAAACGTAGCCCGCGTCTCCAGAAAATTTGTGTCAAAGTATTGTCGACGAGTGTCTTTAGAGATAATTTCGGAATTCTCATAATGAATGAGAACGTTTGGAATACAATCATTGCATAGATGCAAATAGCCCCATTACTTCAAACAATAAATTACAGTAGTAACTAGTTCGTAAATCGGCAGGTCTTTGTATATCTCTGAAATATTGAAGCATGACCTACTAACGGATTATCGATATCACATTTTGTGAATTTCCGGAGATGGAAAACTTATTTTCAATATTCGATATTCAAATTTATCAAATTATTTGAATTTGTACTTTTCTCAAAATGCAATATTGACGAAATAGTGTTCATTTTCACATCAGATGGGTTGAAGAATGACTCTTTGACAGAGAATGGTTAAGTGCCAAATCAACTGAAGGCTAGGTATCAAATTTTCTAAAAAACTGACAAAATTTGCCCATTGTTGAATATCATATCATGTTTTATATTCGTATGCATCTTGAGGGTGAAACCTAAAAGTGTACTGAATCTTCTCTCTAAATGAGAATACTTTCAAATAATCCACATTATTGATGTGAAAAATTAATGATGAATGTTATATACAAATCTTTTGAGAAGTCAGTCGGTGAATAACTAAAATTTTTTTGAGTCTGAGATTGTTTTGTACAATTCGACAAAAATTCCATAATATGATATCAAAGCCATGGAAATTTAACATAGTTTATTAGCCTCAGATTACAAATATTCTCATAGAAAATTCAGTACCAAGCAAAACAACCTTCAGTGGGGGTTCGGCTGTGACCTAATGAAGAGCTTAGTGGTATTTTTTTGTTTCTCATAAAGCAATTGCATCAAGTGAAATATTCATATTGTCGTACCCTACATACTTGGGCGAAACGCCTAACCGATGATATCCATTTCATGCAGTGAGAAGTTGATTAGTTGAAGTCAAAATTTTGGTAATCAAAAAAGATTTTTATTTTTGTATCACTTTAATACATATGTAAGTACTGGGTTAGTTTTCAATGAATAATTAGTATCTAGTCTCACCACGGGTACGATAATTAATAATGGATCCTGGTCCAGAATCATTAAAATCAGTATCCTTACTATCGAAGTCCGCAGGATACGATATGGGTCGCATATTCCCGCTTCTCTCATAATAATAGCGGGGATCTGGAACTAGCAAATGCCTCGTCGATTTTGAAAGAGGTGAATTCGATTCATCGGGCTGTGTAAACTGCAGAGGTGTGTAACGTCGAGATGGCCAATCTGTGCTCCGGATTGTTTCTTCTATAAAACACCTTCTGTTTATATTTAAAAATTCATGTACACTCAAATCCAAAAGTCTTGTATAGTTTTCTAGTAGTGGAGTGCTACAAATTTGATCTCGCTTTTCATCAGTAGACCCAATAATTTAATGGTATTACGAGGGCTATTCATAAACACATTATGACTCATTTTGATATCGGAGCTACTTCATCATACCATTTGTAGTGCATGTTGATTCCGTTTCACATTGAATATTTGAAATATCGGTTGGGATATGCTGAATTTGAGTTGTGAAAACTGAGAATGGAAAGAGAATGAGAATGAAACAGATCGATTATTGAAATGACGATTTTTGTTGTCTTGTTTTAGAGCTTTCATTTTCAAAACACAAAAGTATGGAAGAGAAATATTCGTATGTTTTTCATATATCCTTTGATTTGGTTTCATGAAATTTTTGGAAAAATATTTCGTTCAGTAATGACCACTTTTGACTTCATTTTTGATATGGACCTGTATTTTTCTTCGAAAATTTTGTAGCTATTTCAACCGTTTCGGTACAAGACGACCATCATCACGGTTCGATCAATGGAAGATATTGTAATGAAATACGGACCTAATTTCGACATACATATTTTGAAAACACGTATATCTCATCAAAGAATAAGTTGAAGAAGTAATGAATACACTATCCAAACTAAACTACTAAACAGCAAAATTTAGGAAAATTTCTTTCATTTCACCGCGATTACTATTAAATGATGTAGATGACTGCAAAGAAAATATCATTGATGTTTTTTAATACTTCAACTAAGAAAAAGACAGGCGGAGATTGAAAAACATTCGATTATATTCAATTGATGATGATGGTTCAATAAATTGACTCACTAGGTCATCAGATTTCATTTTAGTACATTTTTTCATTTGGATTCATATTAAAAATGAAGTTTATTCTGTTTTTGATCTCCATTAAAATTACAAGGTTAGTACCTACCTTGTGCCAAGAATTTCGGATATTAGCACACTAAATGGCATTTGTGGTCAAGAATAGTAGCTACTCCCACGTTTTCAGTGATGTACAATACTTGCAGCAAATGTCAGTATCTTACTCTTCAAAGTTGTTTATTCTTTGGAACTCCTAAAGTCAAACTTTTAAACTCAAGCTCATCTCCTTTAACAGAAGGTGAATAAAAATATCTTTTAACTTTATAGTTAATCTGAAGAGATGACATAACCACGGGATATACATGGAATCCTGAAAGAAAACCTTCTGAGGAATTGATTCTTAGTGATCATTATGATTACTAAGAAAATGAATATTTTGAATTGAAAATTTGAAATATTTGCCTATTCTAGCTCTACTATACAATAGATTTATGTGAATGCCTCATAGAAAAAAACCGCTTTCCAGGCAATACATGAAAATTTGCAGTACATTCGACTGACAGGCTGTGTACTCTATGAATATCTACGTAGAAAGTGAGGATGGAGCAAAATATTGAATACATTATTGACATTTTCGATGGGATTAAAACAGATATCACACACAGGAACGCCACCCAATGTGGAAAAACCTTTCATTTTATAGGAGTACTTCTAGAAGTTTCGGATGAAAACTTGTTCAACTCCTCATCAGCACCTCTTTGGATATTTTTGAAAGATGATTCACTGAATACTTGCAGAAACATGACCTACATATCTTCGTGAAGGGTTTTATTAATGTATTGAATTTTTTCCTTCATCTGGAAGTTCACCACGTTTTATTTAATATGAAGAAGTAGACAGCCAAAAAGTTTTTTGTTATAAAAAGTGCCTCCTATAATCATTCATTTCTCATGATTATTTGTTCATTTTCTTATAGTTATATTATGTTCAAGAAAATAGTCATACATTTATCGCAAAAGAGAATGATAAATACGCGAGTTCAAAGATCAATTATTTCCATTTCTGTTTTTGGGTTATAAGTTTTCAAATATTCAATAAATTCCTCTATTCAACAGCGTCATAGTCATATTATTCCATATTTTAACTATGATGACTCATTGATGATATATTTCGATGAAAATTAAAACTGTTCATGTTAAGATTTACCAAATTTAAAAAAAGTGATGAATGATTCACGAAAAAAACTATTTTCAACGACACAAGACTTTTGGTTTCGAGTGTAGATCGAACTAAGAACTTACCTTTACATGTTCCGAAAGCTTGCACGACTATGTCTCTTTGTAGGCGACAAGCTAGTTGGCGCAGTTCACATGGTGAACTGTAAGTTTGACCATCGCTACCACAAACAACCTGTGAAAAAATTGATAATATTATGAGTATAACAACGAAATTAGATTTTACTCCTCCCTGTTGCATAGTTCGCAACGACAAACCAAGTTATTTCTGTAAACTTCTAGATCACATATTTTTTTCTCCTTCTGTTGGAGGAAGGAAATTTCATTTCACTGTGAAAGGGGAAGGACACGATAAGAAAAATAAATCGTGAATAGGTATTAGAATATTTATACGGGATAATGAAGTGTGCAGAACGATCATTGTGAAATGAAAGCGTTGTGTATAATACTTTTTACCAATAGTTCAAAACCATTATACCAGGTTTATCTGTTTTTTATCTTTAGTATTGATAGGTTTGGGAATATTGATAATTGAAATTTGTTAATTTAAATATTTATCTTCAATCGCTCACTCCATCATCACTTTCATTGATTTGAACGAGAATTCCATCCCAGAAGCTCCTTTATGATTTATGGAGATCATAAAAAATAGTTTTCAGTAATTTCGATTGAGATTGTAGTAGATGTGAGTACGGAACCAAATCAGAAAATGGATCGAAATGAAAATAAATATACAAATACACTCGAGAACACATACGGGAAAACTTAAACTGCAGGGATCGGGTGAAAATAAAAACAGGGCAGTAAACATGGAGAGGACGCATGAACAAAATAACGGATACAGTAGCCGTAGGTGATATAACGATGCAAATATGATGCACTACTGGACCACAGAAGGCAAGCAATTCATGGGCAACTAAAATTATTTCCAGATGAATATGATGGACGTAGGACCTGTATAAACTAATAAAGGAACAAGAATGTTGGAACGGGTGTACTGAAAAGATGGGGTAGAAACGCAATAAGGGCCTGAAAATTAATTTGTCGAGCAAACTTGAAGGTTTACTTTTTCGAGAAACCTTCACACTGGGATCACTTGACTTCAAATAATACGAAATCAACATGTTTGTCATACAAGCTTGAATTGAAGCAACTTCAATTATTACAGTTAACTACTTATAGATTTTCTAATACGAAGACATTCCATATTTCTCATTCAGTGAGTTCAAATGCGTGTATACTAAACCTATTTGTGGTGGTTGGAATATGTTCGAACAGAGCTCATGAAAACTGATTCTGCTATTTGGATATACCATTGATGATCTAGCTCTAAGCAGTATGGGTAATAGACCATTTCGGATACAAATCTATTTTTTCTATGTTGGCTACTCTTTGTGATTCTCATTCAGTATCAGTTGTCATATGTAGTTTATGTTTATTATGTTCAATTTTAGGTTTCATTAGCAGTTTGAAAGTGAAGTAATTGTGTTCGTTTCACCGTCTTCAATAATATGGATTTTTTGAAGCTCTCCTATTATTTTTCCCTTTGCTACTATGTGTGTTTGTCATTAGTGTCAGTTATCAAACATTGATATTTATACTGTCCATTTTAGATTTGATGTTTGATTGGTATTTATTTTTCATTTACTTTTCTCAAGATTCAGTTCAATTGAAGTCCTGAACATTTTACATGGTAGCTGACACCAATGGTAAATACACAGATTAGCGAAATCATAAAAATACATGTTCTTACTAATTGAGATATTTCAGAATGAAAAGTGACCATTCAATCATGAATTCATGTGTGTTACTCAATTAATAGATGAAAAATAGATGATGGCCTATCTCATACGATAATGACATCAAATTTTGTCATAATATTCAAAATATTGGTTAACTGGATGAACTCGTAAACACTCCATGAATTGTTGACATACTTGAGTTTCAATATCTTCGGGACATTTCGTATGACATTCGCATATGGCTAGTCCTCCTCGCTCGGTACATGTTGCTCCAAAGTAACACGTCAGTTCCTTGCAGGTCGTGGGTGGGGATGTGGTGTAGTCAGCAGCTTCATACATAATTATATAAAGGTGAGTTATTAAAAATCATTGATTATTCGGTATTTTAGGTTTTAATAGTCATGGTCTGCAGGTTTTTAGGCTCGAAGTTTCGTCTGCACCTGTGGCGGATATCAACAAAGGCGATACAGCAATGGTCGAAGTGATCTACGCAATATGGTCCTGATGTGTTATAATACCACTGACAGTATTCAATTGTTTTCGCACCTGCTCGTACCCGATTCTGTTTGAATCATTAGCAAAATCTATATGTTTCGTCTGTTTCGGATTGTAGTTCGAGTCCCTATCTGAATATATGGGTTGATTGTCATGTATGCACTATATATGCTCCAGTCCGTCATCCTCCCGTCTTTACGCTAATACATAATGGACTACATGAAAGAACATGCTGATGAGTAGCAGGGTTTCACACACAAGGACAATTATGAACAGCGATACATCAAAACTCAACAAGACGTCATTGGGATTCACTTTAAAATCTTGACCCATTTCGATAAAATACGTAGTCTCTAACAAATGACCTTGTTTTGGTTAGTTTCCAGGTTTTGCGGTGGTTATCTTTGGTTATAGTCTTCAAAAGTTCCGATTATAACGTCAAGAAAAGTACTTCGACCACACCTCTGAAGATGACTGCCGTGGTTTCAGTCGAAGCCTTTGGAGATTATAACCAAAGAAGACCATGGAAAAACCTGAAAACTAACTAAAACATTGACGCCAACCGTGAAAGCCTACATTACTATGAATGAACTTGTTTTTCCCAGCAGTAGCGTATCGCAGCAAGATAGATTACAGCAACCATTACCGCATCGCCTGTAATAATATCTGCCGCAGATCCAGACAAAACCTGCAGACCACGGCTGATAAATCCGATAACAGCAAATAATCTGTTAGGCAATAATAAAATACATTACCTGAAACGCATCCGTTTGGACCTAGAACTTTGTTATGATTGGTGCAAACCGTACATTTTTGTCCTTGAACTCCTAACCTGCAAACACACCTCCCAGTCATCTGCTCGCAATCATCTCTAACAGATCCGAAGGTAGAACAACCACACGCTGAAGAAAAATCAATATAGATTGTAGTCAAATAAATATATGAATGAAAGATTTCTTTGTTTTTCAATTGGATATCAAAAGCTAGTAGATTTTCTCAATGGTAGAAAGGTCATTGATATAGAAAAACAGAGATATAATGATCGAATAAATTCTTACGTATACAGCCTCGATATCCGGAAGAAATTTTTGGTAATCCCCAGAATCCTGATTCGCACCTATCACACTTGGCCCCGCCAACTCCTGGTCTACATTTACATTGCTGAGTGTCAGGATCACACATTTCAGAATACGATCCAAGTTTATGACAACCACAAAGTGAAGGACATCCAGCGAAATTTGGTCCTTGAGCAACATTCTTGCCGTCAGGGCAACAACCATACCAAGAGTCTTCACAACTCTTTTTTTCAATGAAATTTTTGTCTATGAAATGAAGTTATGGAGAAATCATTGGAATGAGCAACAGAAATATATACTTACCTTTGTGACAACATCTTGAAAATCTAGTAGTTTGATGACAATAACTTCCAGAGGGACAATCTTGTCTGAAAGGACCATTGCCACAATCAAGCTCTCTTCCCGTTATGACATCAGTTAGCGGTTTTTCTCCTTTGCAAGGTTTCACTTCTAGAGGAGACAAATGAATGAAATATTGAAAATATCGAATCAAATTTGTTAACGCCCTCATCAGATGCAAATTAAGAATTATTGAAAGTAGAGAACTACAAAAACATAGAAATAGGAATCTAGAGGCTGAAACTCATTTTGTCTTCCAGATATTCGTCTTCAGGTTAATTTGAAATGTTTTCTCGACTGATTCATTCGTCAAATTTTTCTATATCGCATCTGAAACGTTGATCTTGTTGTGTAAAAATTAGCAAATTGCTTTCAATTTTTCACGAAAGATAAAGTTTTATCTTGCAGTGGTTGAATACTTGGAACTGAATATTTCGACAAGTGGGATAGCAGAATTTCAGGTAGTGATGATCAGTCTGAGCGGAACATCCTTTTTGTGAATCTTGAGTGATCCCTGCAGTTCTCTCTCTCTCTCTCTATTTTGGATGGTCGTTGCTTCCTATCTTCAGGCGCATATGACCAATGCTCAATCCCTGCAGTTGAGAGGGCTTGTGTGGTGTCGTATAAACGGTGATACCTCCTTATCTCAAAATATAAGTTACTGTTTTTTCATGGTATGGTACATTTACCGATTTAAGATATCATGTAATCTTGTTTTTCTCTTTCTGAAGACTGTTTTTGATCGTCTGCTTGTAGTAATATGTATTTATCATAACGTTTTTGATTGAAAATGTAGTGAAGTGAGTCGGTTATGAATGATATTTTTTTCTTTTTTTTCACCACAATTCTTTTTTGATTCTTGATAATTTTTTGTACACTATTGTCATTTTATTTATAATTCATATCATTTTTCCTTACTCATATCATCAATTCATTGCCATTTCAGTCATGATATTTTTCCTTATTAGTCAGTGGGCCGTAAACAAATCTAAAAAAAAAGAACTTTAAACGTTCAAGCCAGTCTCGAATATACCTACACGGTAGGTTGAATGGACTGACGCCTATCAGAAAACATCTACTCCCGAAGGGCGTTGGATTATATCCGACAGGCGTCAGTGCAGGAATCTCCACATAAATTTCCTGCATATGCAATTGGCAATACAACTGAAAGAGTCGACCTTAAATTTTGAAACGGGCGCACTTGCAGACCGGTTTCGGGCTCATTAGCCACTCATCAGTGCAAGATAGTGGCCATCATCGACCTAAAGTCAATGCTATTCCATAATTGAAAATCAGAATTCTTTCAGAGTATTTCATTCCTCTCCCATCAACTTAGAGTTCGCTCCAACTTAGGGAGCTCCAACTTAGTGGAGTTCGCTCCATCTTAGGAAGAGGAACGAAATACTCTGAAAGAATTCCGATTTTCAATTATGGTATATCATTGACTTTAGGTCGATGATGGTCAGTATCTTACACTGATGAGTGGCTAATGAGCCCGAAACCGGTCTGCAAGTGTGCCCGTTTCAAAATTGAAGGTCGACTCTTTCAGTTGTATTGCCAATTGCATATGCAGGGAATTTCTGTGAAGATTCCTGCACTGACGCCTGTTGGATATAATCCAACGCCCTTCGTGGTATTAGCCAGGGGAGTAGTTGTTTTCTGATAGGCGTCAGTTCATTCAACCTACTGTGTAGGTATATTCGAGACTGGCTTGAACGTTTGAAGTTAATTTCTTTGGATCAGTCATATGATAATTCATATCTTTTTTATATATATTCTTTTCATTTATTTTTTTCTCATTCCAATTTTTTGCCAAACCCAGTCCAATATTTCGTTCCTAGTAGTTTCTAATACTTCATTCATGTATTTTCTGCTAACATTTTTGATAGTGGCCGTCGGAAACTAGAACATTCAACAAATAACATTGCTACCCACAATGAATCAATAGTAAAATACCTTGAAACATGTTACTGTTGAGAATTATTATCAAATTACCTTTGATATAATTGAAAATGAATAATATATCTACAAGAGAAACGGGGAAATGGAGCATTTCTGAAAAATAAAGGTTGGTTTCATGGCAAGTTTTGTATTCTTTGAATATCTACCCTAACCTAGCTTGAAAGTTTTCTGGTCACATCATTTCACCGAGTATTGATTTTATAAATTTGTTACAATCTTTAAAGAAAAAATAATTCAACGACACTACCTCAATTTCTATTTGTGCCAAAAAAAAACACGACAAAATACCGATGTTCCGAACTGCGTCTATACTCATGATTGCAATTATCTGAAATGTTACGGCAACTGAAAACTCTCGTCTCAATAGCCTGGAGGAAACTCAGATATTACGCTTCATTTTATGTAGACATGAAAAATTAATTTGACGATGGCAAGCTGGCATAAAAATGTATACAAAGTTGCTATATAGAACTAATAAAAACCAATTAACTTTGGTAAAGACTCTTCGGAAACGTATGATCTCAAGAAGTTTCAAGGCGCGGTAAACCAGCCCATTAACGATTAATGTTCCTTTGAAAGATTGTAAATGCTTAGGTGCTCTCAGAGAGTATCTAGCGCTCATATATGCCTTTTAGCACATATAAAGGGTAAGTGATTGATAAAATTAGTGGTGAATTGAATTAATCAAACCTTGGCAAAGATCGAGCGGCCTCAACCTCAACTCTTCTTGTCGCTGACAAGCCTCCATCTTCATTGCACATAACGAGGGGTAAATTCTTAAATCGGAAGCACAAACGGGCTTCGATGCTGACGAAAGTGCGTTTGCACAATCAAATTGACAGGTGCATCGAGGAAAATTATCAGGACCTAACTCACACGTGGCTTCAAAGTCGCAATGAATATCCTTGCACGCTTCTTTCTCAGTGTTACCAGCTTCAAGGACGGAATCGTCAGGTTCAGCCGTTTCAAGATCTGTACCGGTTACGGAGTTAGTCTGAACTGTTATGGTTGGAAGTGTTGCTGTAGGAAAGTTAGTGTGTTAGAATAGTAATACACTCGATTGCAAAATCAAACGGATACTCGCTATCTCCCAGTACATTCACAAAAGATGTTTATTCAGAGACTATTCTTGAATAATATACAACTATTAGTAACAAGTGATAAAAAACGAAAATACCATTTCATATCATCAGAAAACAAAATGATTGAAAATTTTGACAAAGATTAAATGTAACATTTTTGAGACCGATAAAAAAAACAACTTTAAATCGAGTATTTTTTTCTAGAATTTGTATAAAAGCTCTCATATAATACTTTGTAATCTCATCCTGCGCTATCTGCGACCATTCATGTAAAGGCGCCTGTTCCAACTGTAGTACTAATTAAAACTCGCCTGATCCATCTGCTCAGGTCATTTCGCATATGCTCTGCGGGGTTCAGATCCAAACTTGAAGTTGGTCACTCCTCACTCCAGCATTCCAACATTATGGACATATTAACAAATTATTTTGACGGTAGATCACTTTCCATAGAAAACGTATGAAATATAACGAGGCCTGAAAATTTTAACTTCAAACTAATGCAAAGAGCAATGCAAGAAATTTTTAAGGAGAACATAAAGTGTCCGTTTAATTTTGCAGTCAAGTGTAGCAGTGGAAAAAATTGAATTTTATGTCATACGGTTGAACTAATACCTCAAATAACATGAATGATTCGTCGATGATACATATTCATCATAAAACTCGAACAATTTATGAAAACTTTTTATTTATTTTTTTGCAGATTTCGTCGAAATATCTTTATATCGTTTAGGTTGTACTTTATATACCATGAAATTTATGATTTCGTTTGTGGAGATGCATGTATTGAAATTGTTGTGTTGCAGAATTCAACATAGTAACTATTTCTTTCATCATTTATTTGTATTGAGCATTGTAATTTGTCCCAATATGTCTACTGCATATCCCTTCATCAATTCTGCAATTTCACACTAGGTACCTTTTTTGAGTCGGTCTAATTCATCGAGATTTCGCAACCAATTCAGGAAATATTTTCTCAGAAAAGTATCTGCATGATGCCGTTGGGTAAATATCCTGGAAAACCGATTACCACAATCATAATTTTTGAAAGAAAGATTAGTAAATTTCCAACATTTCTTGAAGAGAGTACCACAAAACTTATGAATGTATAAGGTTATAATAGTTATTTATTCAACTAAGCAGAGAAATAACAGATTTACTGCTACGGCTAGCATTTTTTGCCCAGTTGCCAAGGCAGTAAGTCTGTTTCTCTGCCGTGTGAAATAACAATAATTATTCTAATCGTACAGTATGATTTTTGGTTCTCAATCATCGAATCGCATTTTCCAATAATAATAATTATTATTGTTGATCAGACCGTATTTACTGAAAGTTGTTGATGTTATATTGGATACGGATAAAAATTATGTGCACATTAAAAGCTATAGTTATGTATGACGTTCAAGTGATTGTTTAACTCCATAGTCATGCTCAAATCACATCACCAGTTCCGTTGTTAAAGAAAGTCTGGGTTGATATGTACAATTTCTGATTTGTTTATTTCAAAATCACTTTTCATTCATTTATTTCGAGAGTGAATTGTTTGAAGGAGAGATTAATTTGTGTTCAAAGTCCAAACAAAAATTTTATAGTTTCTAAAATAATGGCAAGTGATGAAGAAATACTAACAAGATCTGAGAAAAGACGCAGAATATTATTTGTTGCCTAGAAACTCTAGGAAACTATGAACTATGTTTTAGAATTCCCGCAATACCAAGAAGATAGAAAACAGCAAAAAATTATTTCAAAATGTGTATTTCATCTTCAAAAACTCTGTAGTCGAATCCTTATCACCGAGTATATCTGAATATAGTTTGAATATTTTAGTTCAATGAAATCATCGTAGCATAAAGACCGGAATGATAAAATGTTTGCTTCAATCACAAAGAGGGATCAAAGTTGACGAAAAGAGAAACTGTGCCCCTCTCGGCATTTTCGAGTTTTGTCAGTCCATGCTTGTTAATGAGATTCATTAGTGGGTTGCTTAGCAAAGAGGTAACAAAACAAGACTACTTGAAAACTTACTGCTGAGAGAACCAGCTACTGGAAACCTCTCCCGACAGTCCCCGTAGAACACAACACTCAAAGGGGGAGAGTTGGTTGCTTGTAAACACATCGCTTTCTGTAACTCACACTCGTTTGGATATGTCATCATGTTGGATGCACATACCGGTTCATCTCCAGACCCTTCGCAGTTTGTAGGGCATACACATTCCCCTGCTTCGCATCTAGAGCCGTATTTACATTCCACTTCTTGACATAAATCTAAAATTGTTTGATGTGTCAATACACTTATGGAAAATTCACACTTCTTTGCATCCAATAACACTCTTCTGAATAAAAATGTTAGAGGTAGATTCAATACAGAATGTTCCTATATATCTTTCACAGGTAATATCTCCGGTATTTGAATAGATAGAGAGATGATATAGAAATAATTGTAAACTAGGTCAAAATAGAGAGTTAGAGCTGCTAATCGCCACCATTATTTCTTGACGTTTTTACAGGTAACTAGTAATTAGTCTCAAATCAACCTAAATTATGAAATTATTTACTTAGGTAAGGATCGATATCATGATGAAAATGTCACCATCTTTCAATTCTTTCCATGTTCATCTTGATATGTAAGAAACATTAAACTTTTGTTACGTGGTTTGAAGCAATCTTGAATGATATGAGAAACGCACTGGTCATAATCGAAACAATTTCTGATTCAAACAAGGATACCTCTGACATTCTACTCTATGAGAAAATGATTGAATCCGATTCGACACAATTGAAAGTTTCCAAAAAATTTACTGACCACATTTTTTTTTCCTGAGAAAAATCCAAATCATCTGAAAACCTTGCAGGTAGTCGCTAAAGCAACACTGCAGATTTACTACACTCATAAAAACATTCTTATATCCTAACTGGAAACACACCAAAATTTCCCGGTACCCTGTGGCTCCTTTTTTACAACCCTTCACTACCGAAGTACACAATGCAATTGGGTTGTTGATAAACTACAAAAGCTCTGACGCATAGGAGGTGAATAGTGAAATCATCAAGTCTCCTTCAGCTATCAGTATTGGTACTGACTCGATCAATCGAATAGTTTTCTCCACTGATACCCATCCACGAGAAAACTATTGAAGTAGTGTCACTATGAACTGACCAGATAATCACTGATATACTTAGTAGAAAATTATTCGGCATAATCTTTCTTCTTTGTCGAATGGGGAATTTTATTAGCTTTTCCACTCTGAAAACAGCGCATTTTTCACTATCTCAATCACTTATCAGTCATTTAGCGATATTCTGGAGAAATTCGTATGATGAAGCTAACATTTTTGAAAAACATAAAACGGTTTCGAGAAATCAGCAAATGAAAATTACTGTAAACACAAATAGTATCTATTATACAGGCCAATCTCCATTACAAATCAACTAGAAGCGCCAATTTTATTAGACCACAATGTTTTCGTGTGACCAAGAAGTTCAAAAACTTTTTATACGTCAAACTTTCATAATATACTATCTAAAAAAATTGAAAACCCCTTCAACTCTCAGAGCTGAAATGAAAAATTATTCACTTGATTCGAATAATTCATGGAACATAATAGAATCGAAAAATAAAGGACATTCAACCAAAAGGATCGACTTCACCAATACACCGATTAGTGACATCTTCGGGGTGCAACTAAAGTCGAGCATTCATCGCAACGTGGACCACATTACTGAGAATACCCAGCCTTTCCTCACCCTGCCACTCAACATTGAGAAAGTGAAGACCGTCAGAGAAGCGCTTAAGGTACTTGTCTCCAAGAACATTTTAGAGGGAGTGACTTCGTCGGAAACAAACAAGAAGGTCGAAGCTTGGGAACAAATTACGCTCTGCAATCTTCCCGTTATTCTTATTTTGCATCTGAAGTTTTTCAAATACAGCAACTACCGTTGCACGAAGATTATCAAGGCTTTCGATTTTGAATTCGACTTGAAATTTGATTCGACTTTGATATCGTCGGAAACACAGTCTCCAACAGAGAGACAATACAAGCTATTCGCCATCGTTTACCACGAAGGCAAAAATGCCAACTTTGGACACTACGTGACCGATGCCTTCCACGTCGGCTACAATTGCTGGATTAGGTACGACGATTCTTCGGTCAAGACCGTGCAAAATGAAGACGTATTGAAACCCCAGGGAACGCGAGTTTCTTATTTGCTATTCTACAGGAAAAGCGATATGATCCTATCTAAATAAGGTTGCTACTTTTACGTAGAGTTCAGGGTCTAGAATCTTACGGAATTTCTCTTTTTAGCTTTTATTGAATTTGATATTTTTTTTGGTTTCAATGAATTATTTTATTCTTTCATTTATTCTTAATGATATATGTATTTCATTTATTTGAATAGAAAGAATATATTTCTTGATTATTGCTTCTACTTTGTTCGTATATATTTTCATACATACTTTCATGTTGAATTTTCTTAAATTCTCCCTGTTATTGCTTTCAGTTCAATAATTTGTCTTTTGAACGGAGTACTACCATTAAATGTTTGTCTTTCAAATTGTAAAAACATGTGACGTAGTTGAATATTCATCTATATATCTACCTATCTATAACTTTTGATGACCTCTTATCACCTGCAAATTTACTTTGGTTGCTGATGGAACGAATCGTTCTTTTTATAACCTATGGAATGTTCTAGCAATGAATGGGGTTTTAATTATGCGCCTGAAATATTTACAGATTTCTGTAAATATTTCAATTGGCGTTTTTATCGTTCAACAATTCTTGACAGAGCGGTTTGGGTAGAATCTGTGGAGTTCGAATAGAAAAACTAGATATATATATTTGTTCTTCTCTTTTCAGACAATATTTGTCTCACCCTGAGCTGAAGACAACTCGACGAATTTCGTCCTGCTCTAATGGTCGAGAAAAAATACATAAAGCTTATTGGTTTTTGTGCGCTTGAGGAAAAGGGATGAATAGTTTCAATGAATTTGGCACTTTCCATCTCCCACAACGGATACAATATTCTGCGGATCATACGGCAAAACCGGTGACTCATCAATACCGTAAAAGTGCCATAGGTAGTGATGAAGCAATATTAGGGAAGCATTATGTCGATGGATGAAGGATGAGACGGCATATGGTGGACATGCCAACAGCAAATGTATTAGGGTCAAAGGCGTTTCAAAACAAGCTCTGCATTTGATGTCAGATATCTCTATACCCATCACGCGACGACAACAAACCAAGGTCTTGAAGACACCTGATTTTCCTTATGTAGCCACCGGAGTGAACTGACTTTGATGTTACTCTTTTGCTGCACGGGTTCCAACTACTTAATGACAGAGTTGTGGTCACCTTGTACAGTGTCGGAAACCAAATTAAGTTCATTGGCTGCTTGGAAAGCTATCTTGAAGATGAATTATCCGACCCCTGATTTTTCATGGTCTGGAACCATGCAGAAGAGAGGATACGTACTCCTGATGACTCAATATGCTATGGCAAAATGCATTCTGTTAGGAAGGTACTCCTTCCTAACATACTCTCGAATGTTTTTTCTATTTCAGTTGTTTTTAGAGGGTGAATATCCCAGCACTTATATCTTCAAAAGCAAGCTTTTCGATAGGATAGAAAAAAAGAGGCTACCCATGCGAAGCTTGGTCTGTATCAGTTTTGATATATTTTAAGAGTATAAGATTCATTTTAAATATGACTCATTTTTTCCAAACATTATTTGTTTATCACTGATAATTAATAAATAAATAATTTTGAAAACCTTTTTTGCATATTAAAGGGTCTTAAGAGTTTTTGTTCTGTAATTTTTGTATATGGAAGTCATACAACCCTCATCCACTTGCAGCTAAATGGATGAAACAGATATTCAAACATACATGGAGAATGCTGTTCGAAGAAATAGCTGTGAATAGACTACCGGAATTAGCTGTAGAAACAAAACCTTCCAAAAAATGTTATGAATAGTTTTAATAGAGATATAGAAATTAATCTAATTTTAAGCATCAAAAAGAACTATTTTGAAACTTCATAAATTTCATTCAATGTACATATTTGGAGATGAATGAGAATGTAATTTGCTTTTCATTGCAAAATCTGAATATTTTTGTTTACCATATCCTCAAATTCCCGTGTTTCTATATAATAAACGACAGATGCAACCTATATTGACTCAACAACTTATGAAAAAAAGTTTGCATGATTTGAAATGGTTTTGTTCTTTCGTACAATCATTAAATTCCTTAAACAACTATTCATTTATGTATCCAAGAATTTGAAAAGGATGTCTGAAAACATGGAACAGAAATCCACATTATGGTACTCACAGAAGATAACAAAAGTATTCAGAAAAAAGTAATACGCCTTACCGCAATTTCCTTTGTAGGCCAATATGATATATTGTTTTGTTTTGCAGGATGCCATGCGAAGTTCGCATTCGTTTGCGTAAGTCTTTCCGTCGGTTCCACAAACTGTGCCGTTGTTGAGCTAAAGGGAACAAATGTGTTTAACTATCATCTATTCACTAACCCGTAATATCGGAACCAGCATAGAATATAAATAGCGTATTTCAATAAATTCGAACGTGATCCAAATTCATATCGGTCATTTCAAATGAAATTCTTTTTCATTAATGTATCCTGTAGGGCTGACCGAACATCGGAAGCTGTATAGTAGGTATAGCGTAACACCCTTAAAAAAACTTCAAGAAAAATTAGGGCTGACAGCATGAAACCTATTTTTATCGATGCATCAGTATTATGAACAAAAATCCTGATTACATTTGTTTATGGATGGTCGATTGTTTGTTGTAAACAAAAATTTTGCAAAATCACAAAAAAAAATATTTTTCATGACCGTGTAAAATGTTATAATTTTCTGCACGATCCACTATGTCAAAAAATAAATGAATCTTCACACTAGTGCAAATTGGGAATTGACCAATGGATATCGTTCGCTTGTATTCATTTGAATTGATTCAATTTGAAACACTCCATGCACTGATTTGTCTACGAATCAAATATAAACAATTCTGAAATTATCCAGTCACTCATTATAAATGAATTGAATACCGAAAAACCTCATATTCAATCCCCAGAATTAACACATTTTTTTACACATATATTTTATAAAAGCGGAAAACAAACGTTTTCCATGGTCTCCTTTATTATAATTTCATAATCATTGGATCATGATTATACAATGCTATTCATCAAGTTACCTATTTACGGATATTTACAGCTACCATTTCTGTAACTAATACGTAAGCTGTTCGAATAATGGAAACAGATTATTTGTACACTACCTGTCATTATTCTCTAAATCAGATATTATTCACAGGATTTCTACACAATATACTAAATGAAAGAGTTGAAATTTCACTTACATGGAACACTGTCATCCTCACTGGTAGACATCCAATGTTTCGGTTTAAGACACTTGCCTTATTAGCTCTTCAGTACCAAACTGGATAACGTTATAAAAAAAAACACACACAATACATTCATAAAATTATGACTGTATGTCATGGACTGAGTTTGCTCTACTTATGTCATCGATGACATTACTTCACATTCATTCGCTTATTTGTATAGTTCATAAACTGGTATATACGTCCTCTCAAAAGAAAAAATCAGAGATACTCAAGCCATCGAGCTTATTGTCGGAATAATCAATGTTGGAAGCTACACTTTCAATCAATAGAAATGTGGATATTCGACATTCCACCAAGTTAATTCCATTCTTGATTCCGTCCCAAAATTTTAAAAACTTTCATTCGGATGGACATCTTACGATGGAGGTAGCATGCAAAGATAATATTAATTCTCAACTATGTACTTACTTGTGGTGTATTATAGATACTTGCAGTATTTGGGATTGCAGGAGCAGGAGACAGAGTTACAGAGTAATATTAGATGATATCAATGACCTGGAGTGTATCATAACTGTAAAAACACCCGATAGCAAGAAATACCTCGATTATTTGTGATAGTAAGAAAAATTCGTCATCGGTCTACAATGAAGAGTTAAGATATCATAACGGAAAATGTTCAGTTTTACCTGTTGGTATAGGAACACTCTTAGTAAAATTCTTCTACAACACTGCATTATTTCGAAATGGCGTCATTTGGTAATTTTTTTGACCTAAACTCGTTTGTAACTCGAGAATCAGGCGTTTTCTGAAAGAATCATCAGAACGGAAAAGTGTTTATTTTGGCTCATGGTATTGAAAGCGTTTTTTGGTATGAATTTTTTATTTTTTTTTAAATTTATCCATTATTTTGACGTAACAAATTATCCATAATCTATACAGAAAATTATTTTGTTCACAATACTTCAATGCATCGATTAAAATGAATTTCATCCTAGCAAAACTCCATAGTCGGTTAAGTCGTTTTTCTTAGAACGTTTTCAGGAATACAGTACTGTACTACTATATAAACTATTAAATAACACTTCAAACCATAATTTGTTACTGTTTTCTTTCCGAGTAGACTGCGTGGCAGTAATTGATTTCGGGCTCGGCGAGTAACCCTCATTAGAGAAAAGTAAATAGGAAACAAAGAAATCCTGATGGATTGGGGAGTTCTGTTAACTGTGTTATTGACTTTTTCGCGTCTGATTTTCAATCAAGTGAAAGCCAAATTCATAACTTCAGGAATCAATATTATATTTATCATATCGGGAAGACAAAGCCGGCTCGATCGGCTTCATAAAATGAACTCTTAGTCCAGTTTACAAATGCTATTTTATCGAAAGTCTACTCCATGACCGAAAATTATCATTGATGTGTCATTTGATTTGGAATGGAATCTGAAATCTCCATGAAACTTCGAGAAATCTGAAATTGGATGTGATACTTGATGAAAATCTATATCAACACTGACTGATAGAATTTATCGTAAGATTTTCACTATTAGGGTTTTGCAACAACTGCGATAATTGTTAAAAATTTGTTATAATGAAAATCAGTAATCAGTTGATGTTACATCTGAAATCCAAAAAAAACTTGAAGAATTTTCTAGAGAAGTCTTAAACAAAATATAGTAATAGCAGTTATTTGAACAATTGCGGTAAAAATTTTTTGTCAACGAATATTATTATTCGGTCATGTATCTAAATAACGCTCAATTTTGTTTTTCCTGATATTCATATCCCATTTGAAGTTAAAATCATATATTTTGAATAAATTGATTGATGTAGCCGTTACTATATGGTAGGAAATCATAATGAAGGAAAGAGAATTGAAAGTTTCTATGTTTAATGTATGTCTTCATAGGACGAAACTGCAGTAACGTTAGTTAGAGTTCAAGTAAACGATAAACCACCCAACAGCTCCCCTTTAATAATATAGTTTGGGAGCTAACTAATTTTGTTATTCAATTATCATTTCTGATTATATAAGAATTTTTTTCAATGATTTTATTAGATGAACATCTGAAGGTTTGGTAATCCTGTATCACTTCGCGTCTTGCGTTCATAAGGTTTGTTTTTGACTATTTTACGTTCAGTTGAGAAAGGAATTTTGGTCAAATATAATGTAGATTCTTATATGCATTGAAACATACTCTTTGTGTTTAAATATTCAAATGCATCCAAATCTCATTCACTGGAATCTCTTTTTCTCATTTTTCACCATCGCTATTGGAATCAGTACACTGGAAAAAGTCTGTGTTGTTATCACACTTGTTATTAGTATCAGTACTGGTCCTAGGATGCCACATTCTAAACAGATAAAAAAAATTGAGTAGTTATAACTGCACCAATATTGAATTTCAACACTCAAATCGCGATCAGTAACTGAACTGAACATTGACGACACGACGGCGGTAACTATCCCCACATTCTATTCGTCACCGTAACATGACTTGAAATTTATGACTCTTCAGCCAATCGTAAAAATCGGTTAGTAAAAATCATCAAATACGAACCGCCAATTCTTCAGTCCACGTGAACTAGTTGGCAACCGGTTCATTTTTATGTATTGGTTTTTTTTGGCCTTTGAGAGTGCCGCAACTTTAAAAATGCACAATATCGTTTACATCGACTATACAAATAAAAGTGTTGAAAAACATGGAAAGTTTCAATTCTCTTTTCTACATTATACATATTGCCGAAACAATTTCGAAAGATGGAACTTTTGAAAACAGTTCAGATTTCAGATATCTCAAATAGTTTTTGAGATATTTGTAAAAAACCAAACCGCTATTTTGAGTATTTCATCGTCAACAATTGTGGAATTCAAAAAAATTTAGATGTCATTCCAAATCGAATGGTCTTGGAGTATACCAGACAGGTGAAGGACAAATAGCATATGTAAACTAGACTATTTTTATAGTCACGGTTTTTCAATATTAAAAAATGGAGAAAATACCTGGCTGGAGGTGGAGAAAATTGATTGCGTTTCTATGCTGATTCAAACAAATGGAAGCGGGTGTTCATTCAATCGATTTTCTCTACTTACCTTAGGATCTGAACATGATTGTGGACAAACACAACGCCCTTCTGTCGCTCCATCACTCTCACAGGATGAATAAAAATCACATTTCCTGCTCTCGCATCCATCTGAAAAGATGTATAAGTATATAGATATTTATTTTAACATTTTCCTACGCTGCAGTGGAAATAGAATATACAGTATGAACTGAAAACCGAAATGATAATAATCATGTCAAACATTCAATGAAAGTGATTCAAGATTCAAGTAATCATCAATAGCCATGGAAAAAATGTCTGCGAATGGATATTTGAATACAAAAGTGGTTCAAATAACGATTTTCAATAAAATTCTGACTTTTGAATTCCAAATTTCGATTTCGACTTTTTGTCAAAATTAATCTTGAGTCGAATCGTAATTCAAAGTTAGAAGTCAAATTTTCAACTTTACAAACTTTACAAACAAATAAAAACAATATGTGTCACTTCTGCGTTTCCGTAACATATATTTCGAAAATTTTTTGGTGAGTTTTAGCAAGTATGTTCGTAAGATTTTTGTTATTTTTAAAACAAACCCTGCTTCCCAACCATCTTCTTGACGCGCGTTGCAACAACGATATTGGAGTCATTAGGTGATGAGTTATACAGTGCGGACATAAATATTCCCCCCTCTACAAATATAGCAAAATATTAGAGTCAGACGAAATTTTGTGAGAAGGAATCATTTTTAGTATTTTTTGATAAAATAGCTCACAGGTGTAANTCTTCATCGAATAGAAAGGAGGGTCTTCTGATATTTCGTATGAAAGGTATCTCAATTATCTATACAATGAATTCCACTCTTTTGAATTTTGATAACCGGTTGCGAAGTAATTATTTTTGAATTTGGAAATAGGAATTTCCTAACTCCGCCATCCTATGAAAGATTTCCTGAAATAAATGTTCATCGGGAAGATAAATGAAATAATAACATCGTCTGCAATGGATAAGTGTTAATTTCGAATACATAAAACAATAGCATTTAATTTCAACAGTCTATTTTTGGACTCTTCTCTAACATTTTGGAATGTCCCTAGGGTAATGCTAGCACACGTTTAGGTAATTCTGTCTCTAAATTGCTATATTGTCACACGTTTCGCTGATTCTGTCTTTAAATTACCGTATTGTCACAGGTTATGTAACATAAACTTCTGATTTGATATAACCCCAAATAAAAAATCGAGTGCAGTCAAATCCGGTGAACGAGCAGGCCATTCCAACGGACTGCGCCTACCAATTTACATTTTGGGATTGTCTAAATCAACCAATTCCTTATATGCATGAGAAATATGGGGGTGCAACAGATTTTCGAAATCATCTTGATTGTTGGCCACAATTTTTTGAATCCGTATGTGAATGAGATTTTGCAGAATTTCCAAATATAAATCAGTCAGATTTTTCTCTAGATATATGGCAATATATATTCCATTCGAGAAAAAAGTTCTTAAATCACCAAAACAAATACTTATTACGCAGTTCCGATTTACAATCAGACGTCCGTACATCAATCCAAGAAGCTGTATTTCACTGTCAGAATTTTTAGGGATAAAACTCACCTCTTCTGATGTATTTCTTGAAGATGGAAGTTGAGGCATCATTCTTACTGGAGTCGTAGACTCTAGTGGGTTATTTATTCACTACAGACTGTTTCTCGTCCGAAATTGTATTTTTTTTCAGCTTCTCTAGGTCTGGTTACACTTTTAATTGTTTCTAACCAATTCCTTGAGATATTTTCGGTAGATTGGATTATCGAATTATTGAACCCCTTTTCTGCCTCATGAAAATTACATCTGGCATCGGTGTAAAAAAGGATTGCTTCTGTTTCTTCCTCTATATATCTGGCGAGAACCGTTTTTGAAAATTTTCACAAAATGAAATGAAGTGAATTCTCAGTATTATTAGCGACGTCTGTCAAACTAACACAATGCTCTCTGTTACTAGAGGATAACACGATGTAAATTCTTATCTACACATACATTATTAAAAATCCTAAATCAGATTGAAAACAGAAATGCGCCTTATCATCAAATAATCTGGTTCTATTCTACATACGATTAATTTCTGTGACACATTACAAACTTTATGTAATCTGTGATGACTAATTTTTGGTTGCAAAGTTACGAATTCAAATTCACACAGCAATCACTTCGCAACCGGTTTTTCGAATTCAACACATTGGAAGTTGGTGTATAGAGAATTGTAATACTTTTCGAGAAAAGGGGTAAATGAAGTTTCGAAAATACAGTTGATAGCGCCCTCTCTGCGTCAATGATGTGACGCCATTGAATTTTACGTCTGCACGGTATATACAGTTCAGGTGATCTCTTGATGACTTGGTTGGTAAAACGAGTGTTTCAGTAGATGTGTGTGTGTATTTGTTCTATTTGAATCCATTCTACGCCAGAGGTTTAAGTTCTATCCTAATAGGCATCGATTTGAAGATAATGGTGCTTATAAGGTAACAAAAACATATATAATTCAAATACTTCATGCAGTTATTTTGAAAATTATCAATGACCATCATTTCTCTTAGCCTATTTATACTTTCCCGTTATGTTTGAAAAAAAACCATGGAATACATTGCAAAAATTGAAGAATTGTAAAAAATGAAGTAGTATATTCCATTATCATTTCAGTACATCGTGAAATTCATCAGACTCAGTGACAATATTTCCTAGTAATGAAAAATTATGCTAATCTATCTAAACTGAATGTCTCACATTTCATTTCACATTCTAACAGATTCATTGGAGAGGCGAAAAATATCGTTATTTGAACTTTCATACAAACCAAAACCTTTTACATGAATATCAAGTAAATTGGTGCGAGATCTTTTGCCTTTTCATCCCATATGAGCAAAACTTCATGCGGTTGACATGTGAGCAGTTTCATAATTTCACGAATACAGCGAATGGGCAAATGCGGTCCTATTTTCATCACCAGTAAGTATATTTATCTACCATGATGCGGGCTCATTTTGGAGTGGACGCGTGAACTATTTGCGAAATAATCGAAGGTAGTGAAATAATTGAGGAATGTATATATGGAAATTTCAACAATGGTAGGAGTTACAGAGTAGATTGAAGAAATACAAAATTGCATACCAAGAAGTACTTTATTTTTGTGATTTCAAAAATCGTAGTTGACCCCCCTACTTTTATCAAATCTTTGTACTTTCCCGTTATCAAAAATGAACGTAAACATTTTTCATATGATGTCATTATGTCTCAACATCATTGAAAAATATACGGAAGAAATAATGAAAACAGTTCAATATCAATATCTTGAAAATGTTCAACGCCTACAGTTGTGTTCTTCATACAAAATCGTTCTGGAAATATATAAGTCGTAAATTGCAATCTCATGCAGAACCCATCATGACCCTGCAAAGAGAAGAACAAAGAAGAATTGGATTAGCTGAGATACTCCATACTTTTTAATTAGTGAACGACGACGTCCTTTTATCTCCGATTTCACTCAATTATTTGACATCTATAACATCTGAAATGAGGTCATTTTTGAAAGTAATATTCCAAACTATCATAATCATCTGAGATCTGGATAACAACTGACTACTTTTCATAATGGATATCGAACTTTCTTTGTCATGGTTCTTTCAATACTTGAGTAAAATTTGTATCGAGCAAAATTTCTAAGTAAGATGGATGGATGCCTGAAATTTTAATGAGAAATGTTTCAAGAATATCTAATTGATCATGTTCCAAAATATTATATGTGATAGCACTGGACGATTCTTGATAAAAATCTATCAAAACGTATTTAAATAACATCGCAACTTCCAGATTTGATAACGTCAATCCAAAACGAGTGAAAAATATTTTGCGAAATATAAAATGAAATGCGGTGAAAAGTGACGTCAATACCTTCACACACATCATAAGTTTCATTGTTATTAAATGTATAGAAATATACAATATTCGAAAAAAATCGCTATTACTTTCTAACAATGGAATTTCCAATTGCACTCTCTAAAGTAATTGAAATAGCAATGTAAGAATGAACATATACCTATGTCAATAAGAATCGTATTCTTTCCATCACGCAGTCGAGCTTCAGGCAAAATTATAGTATCATTAGTGCTCTTTCTATTAATAACGATGAAATTATACATTCATTTGATGAGAATGAGATAACACTTTCAGAATCACTTAATTATTTTATATGAATCATGTTTCGCCATGTACAAAGCTTTGTTACCACGGATTCAATGAAAAAGTCAATCATTTTTTAAGTCTTCCATCAGTATTCGTCCACGCCGTGTTTTTTTTCAATAATAACAGTTTTCTTTCGAATGTATACCTATGCTGATGATACCATCCATATCTTTTCCACAAAATTTGATGAATTTTCACCAGCTGAACATCTTTTGATTGAATATTCAAAAAATTACTGTTTGAACTACAAGATAAATAAATTACCAATCGTAATTTTTGGTAATGGGAGGGATCGGTGAAATGAAGTGCTTAGATTGCGATTTTGGGTTCATCAGCAATCTCAGTTCTTCAATTCCCAGAGCATGTGGTTCACTGAAGTATTTATATCCTCACAGACACGGAAGATTCAACTATATGATACACTTATATTATCGATTTTCAACTATTGTCACATTATCCATGACCGCTGCCTTGATCAAGTAACATTTCCTAGGATCTAAAAATTCAGGATATCTGGGTCAGATTCAACTTCTCGCTTGGACGAAGAGTGAACCGTCTGAGTATCCTGAATGAAAAAAAATGACAACTAGTCATAAGCTCTATTTGTAGTAGAATGTAGAATGTACCACTGTACCACCTGCATACAAATTCCGGAAACAACGTTACGAAAAAAATACTCCAAGGTGGGAGTTAGAATGATAAAAAAATATCTTCCAGAGAGTTGCATATAACATGCTGAAGTTTAAGTGAAAACACCATATCCTTGCTTCTCATGTGAACCTACGACTTTGTAGGTACGTGTGGCAGATACCCAACGGAAAAAAAACAACAACTAACCCAGCTCATGCCGCGCAGAAAGCTGAAGTAAAACCATCAGGCACCTGTGCAACGTCTACCATTTGGAAGATTTGTTACACATATTCATTTAAATAAATCCTTAAAGTTGAATAGAACACTCCGTATTTGGTGGCGTGATTTGATGCAGAGGTAGATGTCCTTCAAAACTATACCTGTCTCTTCTGGTTTTTACACAAAAGGCTTTTTTATATTTTACTCACTCACTTTTTTATCTCAAAAATGGAACACCCTGTATTGTTATGAAAAGCAAAAAAGCATTATTGAAGTCATTTTATCGAAAAATTAAGAATCCTAAATAGTTTATTTTTTCAATATATGCTCAAAATGGTGTCCATTATTTTCGATGCATAGCGAACTCTTTCTTGAAATGAGTGCTGAAATCTGGATAACATGGATTATGCGATATCGAACGAAACGCTCTTCTTATTCGTACTTTCATATCCTAAAGTATCGTTGGCGGTTTATCGTGAACAATACTTTTGATACATCCCCATAAAAAGTAGTCGGGACTTGTGAGGTCCGGAGACCTGGCTGGTCAGTTCTGTGGACCTCCTCGTCCATCAGACCATCTGTGTTGGTGAACAAGGGTTCTAAAAATATGAGGGTTTTCGTCACTGTAGTAGTGAAAGTTATGTGTGTTAACTAATTCGCTGTTATGGAAAGTTGAATCATCGGGAAAAAGCACATAATCAAAAAAAAATTCTTCATCACCAAACTTTTCTACAACCCATAAACAAAAATTCAGTCGTCGATCATAATCTTCTTCAAAAAGCTGTTGATGTAGTTGAATGCGATACGGGTGGAATTTGTGAATTTTAATTCTTTGGATACTCTGTCTGCTTATTCCAGTTGTTTCACATATTTTTTGTTGACTTGTGTGAGGGTGTTCAATTAGATATAACATCAGTAAATATTCATTTTCCTCATTTCCAGTAACCGGTTTTCGCCGTTCTTGCATATTATAAGATACACTGCCTGTTCTTCGGAAAAGCGGCAAACAACTTTTCCAATGAACGATTGTTAGGATGACTTCTGTTAGGATACCTTTGGGCATATACTCTTGACGCTAATAAACAGTTTTCTTCCTGGGGAAAAGTTCTCATTTTACAATATTTCAAAATGACAATAATTTTACACAATAATTTAAAACAATCATAATGATTAACAAATTGTGTCACTGTCAAATACTTTTTGTTTCATAATAATAATTAACGTCATCTAGGCCAGAGCCTACTATTATTGAAAAAATAGTAGGATAGGTTTTATAGGCCATCCTAAATGTATGTTTTTATTGACCCCATATTGTAATTTTGGTATTTATTCCACTATGAAGTCTAATATATTTGCTAAGAAACAAGCGAATGTAATATATTTTGCCTCAATAATTAAGACACATCCATCTTCTTATTTTGAAGAATGCTATTTAATATTTCAGAAATGGCAATAAATTTTAGTTTTTACATTTGCCTGCATTTTAC